GTTTTGAACTTTTAAAATACTGCATGATAGAACCAGAAGCTGTACTTCATTTTATTGACAAAGTTTGGCCTTTTTTGATGAGTTAACTTCATTTCTGCTTCTATTTTTCATTTAAAATAAGTTTCCATGGTCGGCAGGTATCTAAGTTTCTTCTTCTACATATTAAAAAAGTTGTTAAACATCTGAGTGGTGCACTACCACTACTACTGGTGAGAAAGTGTATTGCACCTTATTCAAAATCAATGCGGTCCCACAGCCCTCTGCAGCCCAAAGTTAAAAACTGTTGTTCTTTTGAGGCCCTCAAGGTGGTGCTCGCAACCCACAATTGGGCCGCGGCCCATAGGTTAAGAATCTCTGCGGTAGATGGTAGAAACGGTATGAAGTTGGCCTACGGTAGAAATTTACCTCTACTGTTCGATCGTCAGTTACATCATCACACCTGTGTCAACAGGGCTGTGAGTGCAGAGACAACTGAGCAGGAGTTCAAAATATTCCGAAAATAAATGAAGAAATATAGTGTTTTAAAACATGTAYAGGGAGAAAAAAATACTCAAAATCTCCCTCCTCCTGTAGAAAAATTACGTCTGTAAATCCATCTTGCTAATGTAAAGTCGGCTTCTGCTCTGATGATGARGATGAGCACGCAGCACARCAGCAGCTGATAAGTTCAGCAGGCATAAACTCATTGTATGGCAGGCAGATGTTATATTTATTTGGCTTCACCACACGTATATTCTAGTTATCTGAAATTGTTTTATGACTATGTGCACACTTAAGACCTTTAAGGTCCGGTCACACTATAATATTTTAGGCAACATTGAATTTTTCATGTCTAAATGACTAATTTTACTTGAAGTACTGATTTTAACACATTTTATTTTGATAATGTTGAAAATCTGAGAAATGTTTTTGTTTGTTGTTGAAACTGTTTTGCAATATATAAAAAACATTATTTTGTACTTCTGTTATGTTCATTTGCACTACAGCAAAAAAACTAGGTTTGATTAAGATTAGTTTCCTGCAAAAAAAAAAAAAGCAACAAAAATTACATTAACTTTGCTTTTTATGATAATTTTCTACCGCGATATATAGTTACTGTGAAGGGATTCAATTTAAACCGTGATATGAATTTGATGTCATACTGCCCAGTCCTAATGGCCAGCATAAATGCACCAGAATTAGCTCAACTGCTACATTTCATCTTTTGTCCCCGACACTTACCCTCTCTACATTGCCAAAGAGGCAAAAGATGTTGAAGACTCGGTCAGCATTGATCTTAGAGGGCTCCAAGCCATACACCATAAGAACTGGGGAGTCAGCATGGGGACCRTACTCAGGAAGGGGTGGTCCATAACCAGCACCATACCTCTGGCTACCCCGTCCACGGCCACCCACACCAGGTCCCATGCGATGGGGAAGAAGTGGGCCATAGGTGTCATCATTGTAGCCGTGATAGCCTCCCTGTGGWCCACCTGATAGAAAGTATGACATTTGAGGGTAAGCTTTCAGGTKAAAGATTAAAAAGTAGAACTATGGCAGGTGTGGAGCAGTGGTTGGGCAGCTGACTTGAAACCAGAAAGCCACAGGTTCAATTCCCCACCATGGCCCTGTCATGGTGTCCTTGCGCAAGATACCTATTGTATTTATATGTCCATAACGCAACTAAATTATATAAAAAAAATCCCATTTTTTAACCTTAAAAATCCTTAAGAAATTCTAATCCTTGTGTACAGGTCCTTCTAAAAAAATTAGCATATTGTGATAAAGTTCATTATTTTCTGTAATGTACTGATAAACATTTTTAATACAAAAAAAAAAAGACAACCTTCAAATAATTATGTTCAGTTATGCACTCAATCCTTTTGCAGAAATGACTGCTTGAATGCGGCGTGGCATGGAGACAATCAGCCTGTGGCACTGCTGAGGTGTTATGG